CCTCCTGATCGTGGTTTTCATTGTACTCACCACTACCATCATCTTCATCTGTTATTTTAAATACTACATCAACCACGTCGACAGGAACTAATCCCCATTCTGATAAGTTAACATGTCCTTTTAAACGTTCAAAATGTTTTTGTCCCTGCGGGTAGAACCTAACGCCTAATATTTTCTTCGACCTGTTCTCCGAGAGATCCCACTGAAAGGCAAAATCCATTTCATCAGGTTGTCCAACCTGCACACAGAAAAGAGTGAGGCGATGAAGAGTGATGAAAATTGGGAAGAGATTTGAGCTGGTGTATTCACAAGCGGCACTACCGAACAGACTGCTCTAAACGCCGTATATTGAGCACACCAGGCCCACGCACAAACAACACTTGCCATGACTCAAGTTCCTTAAAATAAATATTACACTGCCTCTCAGTCAGATTTTGCTCCACACACGTCTAAACGCTGTGGGATGGATAAAAGGGAAACTGTTTCAAACTGGTTAGCAAACCACTCTTTCAGAGTCAATTGGGGCACTAATAATTTTCAAGACACTGGCAATTTTGTAAAATTACACATGTTAGATATCTCCGTTATCGTCAGCTCCAGATCAAGTTCTTTAAGAAAAAAGCTTGTACCGTTTCATCAAACTTGTATGCACAAGCACCATAATAAAATAATACAAGTTTCTGTGGAAAAAGCGAAGCAAAAGTTCCGAATGATTGTCCGCCGAAACGGCCCATAGTTGACCGTCATATTCGCCTACCGTGTGACTATCCCTGTCAGGATAACTACATGTATTGATAGAGCAGCGTGCAAAGAAAGTGGTGTCCGATAGCCCGGGGCTAGTGGATTTTGCTATCGGGCTAGTGAATTCTGTTTTTAACTTGCCCGACGGGCAAGTGATGTTTTTTGAGGAACTGGAATAACAGAAGAACCGTGAAATTAATTCTGCTCGTCAAAAAGCTTTTGGGGCTAGTTGAAATGACGTCTGGGCTAGTAAATGCTAGCTTCAGCTAGCCCGAATGGCAAGCTGTAAAAACGATTTTCTTTGTACCCTGTAGAGTAACTATCTCAGGCCGACAGAAAACCAGCTGTTGGCCACTGTATAGTGCCAACCTACATAGGCCGGGTTAGGCTATCGATTCTTGTCATAATAACGTTCGTTTTCGGTCACTGACTGTGGGTACGCCTACCCGTTGGAGCGATTTTTCACTTTTCCCATTTTCTCTCGTGAGATAAAACTTAGAGACCAATAGGCCTTTTTCGGACTTTTTTTGGCGAAATGAGAAGGCTAAATGGGAGCATAAAGGTACCAAAGTATAAAGTGCCAGGTTAGATTTCGAAAACAACCTTAAGCTGGTTACCGATTTTTGCGACAGCTTATATCGCCCCATGTAAGGGAATACAGATTCCGAAATCTGAGAAATTTTCGATCGTGGAATCCAGAATCTTGGGCTTTGGAATCTGGAATGTAGCTCAAGGAGACCGGAATCTCACTTAAGATCGAAATCTGGAATCCCAGTTCCACAGACAAAGAATCCGGAATCCATGGCATGGATTTCAGAATCCAAGACTGTCTTGGATTCCCTTATATGGGTGGACTTATGCTTTCAATTAATTATTGCATACGCATCACAATTAACTTGGAAAATGTTTTAGAGCACTTCCACTATACATGCTGCAATACAGACACAAGTCAAGAAATTACATGATAAAGGAATTTATACCAAGGACTGAAAAGACAATTACCTTAGTTCTATTGTATGAGCTTCCACACTGCAGCATTTTGCCCTTGAATAACGGCTCCTCCTTCTCCATCAGTTCACTTAATTGATCCATCATGCAGATCATATCTGACTCAACCTTTTTGGCCAAACCTTCCCGATAATCCACTCTCCACTTCTGATCATGGTCTAATAAATTCTGCAACAATCTTTGCCGTGTTTCAGGACATAAGTGAAGAAACCAGCTTCTGATGTTGTCTGCCATCATCAGCTATTCAAATACAACAGACAAAGTTTGTTTAATTATGAACTCAGTAAAATAGTTACAATAAGGGAGTTATTTTCAGAACAACTGAGATTGAACCACAATTATTCATGCAATATATCAAACATGAGACCCGGCATTTTAATCATTGATATTTTAATGAAACACAGTTTTGCGTGGTGCCCGATATAACATAATAGAGGAACAGAATGAAGCAAACTGAACGTGAAAATACGTAGTTAAAGGGCATATCTGTTAAATTTGTGACCAACTCGTCAGAAAATGAAATCTTGCGTGTCTTTGAAGCATAACTTAATTCAGCAATTATAGCATTTAAGATATTTATGTTTTGAAAACGTACTAGTTATGCTATAAAATAGAGCGCATCGTTACCTAGAAATTTACGCCGAACGACTTGTTTTACACTAAGAAGATGATGATGATCAGCCCGGGAAGGGGATGGGGAGTTATCTTTTCTCAGTGTCGGGTGAAATAACACGACAAGGTTTAGATCATTCATGGCCCGATCGGGGATATTTCATCACTGCTTCAACCACTGTGACCATAAAAAACGGCATTCCTTCTCTCTCCTGATGATAGAAACTTTTTTAAAATTTTGTCTTCCAGATCGATGGATGAGAGATTGATCGATTCATCTCACTATTTACTTCATGTGGTGTCGAAACGCTATGCGATTCGAGGCATATTTTAGTATGCCTAACACAGTGGAGCTTTTCTCATTTAATGGATGTTATAAAATGGCCGGGTATTCTGCATTTTAGTTACTAACCTTTGAGCAGTATGGATCGTCGAGGTAAGAAGTTTTCAAGGGCTGCAAGTAAAGACAAAGGACAAGGTCTTTGGTCAAGACTTCCCGTTCGCTGACGATAAAATCGAAAGAAGCGATCGACAGTAGGAAGTACAGAAAATGAGTAGCCCTGGAAACTAATTTATGAGATTAACTGTATGGACTTGGACTGGACTGGAATCAACTGGACTAGGACTGGACTGAACTCAAGCAATGAAGGAATGAATGGGAGACTTGAAAGGAATACAAAAATACCAAAATAGACGCAACCTCATTCCCAGGGTTCTCTCTGTTGCTTCGAGAAAGAATCCTGGTTGCGGCTGATCTCGTGGGAATATATGTGACAATAAATTGTGCAGCGGGGGTAGGTCCTCTACTAAATTTTGGCCACTGGACGATGAAATACTATCTGGAGTAGGGAGAAAATTCTTGCTTCATAATGGCGCTTAACTTTCGAAGTGAGTTGCGTGCAAACTGCGTTGCTTTTCGGCTGGTTACGATAACATTATTTTGAAGGCAAACAGGCTATTTGTTTAGAGAGTTTGTACTTGAAAAATTAAAGACTTGCTCGCCGTCATTCCCGCAACAGGATACGGTTATCCTCGATTTGCTCGTGCACAATCTGCTTTTCGTAAATTTGCATACTCATGAATGGAAGAGATAATGCAAAAGTCAGGTTTACATGAAGCACCACCCAGGAAGCAGTTTAAAAATTGTTATAATGGTATTTTCCGCTTTGTTCTATGTTTTTGAAATACGAGCAGATTTCGTGCTATTCCGTGCAGTTCTGTGAGCTAGATCTACCCAACAGGCAATGGCAGAGCTTATAGACAAAATATCATTGGCAATTAAAAGAAATGATTACACTACTGGGATATTTTTAGACCTTTCCAAAGCATTCGATACTATTAGTCATGAGACATAACTGCATAAACTAGAACATTATGGGGTTAGAGGAACTGCATTGGAATGGTTCAAAAATTGTCTAACGAACAGGAAGCAACTAGTAAACTACGCCTGTCAAGTCGGATGTTCGAATTGTTACATGTGGCGTGCTGCAGGGGTCGGTTCTTGGTCCCTTGGTACTGTTGATCTATGTAAATGACATTTCAGAAAACTCACTCCTATCATTTTTACTTTTTGAAAACGACACAAAATTATTTTACAGTCACAGAAATCCTGAAATATTCAGGAAATGTGTAAAGTTGCCAATTGGCTTAGAGCTAACAAATGTTTTTTTTTTTAAATATTAGCAAAACTCACTTTATTATTTTTTTAAACTGAAAACGAAGAGAAACCAAGTAACTTTGAAATTAAAATCAATAAAGAAACTTTTGAACAAGTAAACAGTACAAAGTTTTTGGGATTAATTATAGAAAAGAACTATCCTGGAAACAACATATTAAAAAAGTGGAAACAAAAATATCAAGAATGTTAAGTATAATGATCAGAGCAAGGCATTATAATTACCATAAAGTACCAATATCATCAATACTTGACGCATTGTAACCTTCTTTGGGTATAAGTATTTATTCAACAAGACTTACAGGTATTTACAAAATTCAAAAGAAATTGTGGGAATTGTGGTCTAAATATAGACAGGAATCAAGGCCATTATTTTTGTCATTAGGACTACTAAATATACACGAGCTAAATACGTATCTGATAGCCTTATTTAAATTTGAAATCTCACTTGCATGGAAATCTACCGTCAGCTTTATGAAATTACTTTTCAATGGCACTATTCACATGAATAATACTAGACCTTCAAAAAAAATTACACATAAGCTACAAAAGAACAAATTATGGTACATTTTCAATTAAGGATGGAGGAGCAAAGATATGGAACAACTTGTACAAAATTAAAGAAAACAAACAATTTGCTTAACAACGGTGTGATTCTGACCTGGAAAACCGTGAGGATAGTAAGAGCTGTTTTAATAGATAGTTAGTAATATTTTATCTATAAAGTATATAGCTACATGTTATTGAATTTAATTAAGCCGCCGTCATTGATGTAATTTTAATCGATTTTAGTATTGTAACAAAGGGAGATCTCCTTAGAAAGCTGTGATAAGGTTGCAGAGATCGTCCTGCTACTAGATATGTTTTGCAATCTTAAACTACTGTAAGAAAGAAATGAGTGGCAAAATAAATGATTAAATAAGGAAACAGTTCCAAAAATAATGAAACCTTAAAGTCGTCATGGTCAGACTTCTGTTTCTGCAAAGTTAAGGGGAAGGAGACTCACTACATTATCGCTAATTCCTGTTTCGGAACCTTTTTCGTGTTGTGCAGAAAAATCTACAAAAGGCTTACAAAAATTATCATCTGCTCCTTGTTTGATAGCAAATTGCTGTAGTACGTGCCACATACGTGCAAAATGCTGTTTTATGGTTTCACCTCTATAAACATCAAAACAAAGAGATTCTGGCTGATGTAGATTATAGCAATGTCCTTCACTTTCCACAGAAAGCTGAGGAAATGACCAAAAACGCGATCGCTTCTCGTCCGTAGCTTCGTCAACAGATCCATCGAGAAACTGCTTAACAATTATCATAACATTGGCAACAACTGTCGGGACATCTTCTTTGGACCATATGTTGTCCTCTGCAATATCTGGGTGTTCACTGCATCTAAGGGAGTAGAGCGCCAAAACCACAGATTGGAAAACATGAGATTTCAGGAACGGCCTGTGACCAAGGCATTCACCTAGTTCAACAAACCTCTCACCTTCTGGGACTTTCATATCATAGTATTGAAGTTCTTTGATAGGACGAAGGATGCCTTGCAATCTTATCCCACGTTCTTTGTCCTCCGAGGCAGCAACAGTTGCCATTTTCCTGTCAGAAAAGCATTGGAAATGACAGTTTGGAGGCCATGATTGTGATCACTTTAAAAATATTACTCTTCATATGACAACTATCAACACTTAATTGCAATTAAGGATAATGGAGTTTCTTGTTATAAATTTAACAGATGAGCATATCTCATTTACTGAAAAACTACCATATGCTTTTTGCAAGCTTTCCTGAATAATCTTTGCTTTTACAATTCGCCTCATAATCAGCCATTTTCGCAAAACAGTAATTTCTAGCAAACATTATTTGGAAAGGTACGGACTCTATTCAGACCAGGGAGGGGGCTTTTGGAGCCCCCCTCGCTAAAAAGTTGATCACCAAAACTTAGCGACTTTTCCTTAAAATTTTAAATTTGTGTAAACGTTTACGTCAACTTTGACGTGGCCATTAAAAAAGGATTTATTTCTGATTTTAGTTATTAAATAATAGCATTACACTTAATTATAATTTGGCAATATTTTATCAAATTTACCATCACTTTAAGTGAGATCCAGGCTTTTTAGCAACTGATTTGAGAAAAAACTTGAATTTAAAATTACCAAATGGCAGATCTTGGTTCAATTTTGAACAGCGTTTATTTCTCTCGGAATTTCAAAACTTGCGAATTTTTTTGCTTCATGAGCATCCTTTTAATTGCTATCACGATTACCTCCATTCATACGGGTTTCAAAGGAAACTGAACACACTTAATAAATTCAAAATGGCAGATCCAAGAAGGCGGATAGTTCCAGATCATTTTTAAATGATAAATGATGTCATTGTGGCATCACTGCTGTTGTTAAAGATTATTAATGTGTTAACCAATTTCTTGATTTTGTCAGACACCTTACTATTTAAGTATTTCTTGCTTTGAAGGGAAAATTGATGGAATTTAGATTCTGCCAAAAAAAGAGATTATGACGTCAAATCTCGTCATTGTGGCAATCAGGGTATGCCTTGATGTTGGAAATGACGAGTATATATTATTCTGCGTAATTTTAGTGGGAGTAGTATCATGAGCGGTTTAGGCCCCGCTCGGTCGCAGGAAACAAAAAACAAACCGCACTGGATAAGGTTAAAGTAAGCTGAAAAGACAGCGCCAGGAACAGGGGCCATTGTTGACCACATGACCCAATCGTTCTAGTCCAACTTCAGTTGGCATTGCTTTCCGTTTAAAAAGGCCGAGTGTGACATAGCGGGCGCGATCCATTCGACAAAAATTTCCGGGCAGAGGTTCGAAAATTACGTGGGGAGAATGGATCTCGACGGCGACCGGTCTCGTTTCATTCCTCTCTCCAACAGAAACTCAGAAACGCGTTAAGGGGCAATCGGGATATAAACCGTCAGCTTCGGTGTGAGGTAGCAACCTACTGGTTGTAACAGACCTCATTAAATGCTTGCTGAGGACGAATTAAGTGAGTATTTGTTGAAGAAAACGAATTATTCGAAGAATAAAACAATAGAGTCGGAGGCTGAAATGTCAACATTTTCGTACGAATTGGTTTTGGCGGTAATAGTCGCAGTCGAGATGCGAACACAGACTGACTTACTTGGATTTTTTTTGCAAAAAGCAACAAGTAAATACACCAAAAACTTACCTGCCAAGCTTGCCTCTCGTGAGATAGCAAATTTTCTAGCATGGGTACAGTTATGTCACAAAACTGCACCGGTAGCCGGACTGAAGCCGCCTATTTTTGCCAAATGGTAAACACCCAGGAAGTATCGAACCGTGAGGAACTGGGGATGAGAATGGGCCGGAATCGTCGAATGGAACAGTCATTTCCCGATCAGACCAGCCCAAGCGGCAAAAGTGGTCCACCTGGAAAGGTGGACCAGTTTTTTCGAAACTTTTCCGGTTGGACCGAACCGATCCATTGGGTTTTGGACTGAAATTACCGGATATTTTAGTTGAATGGATCGTGCCCAGCATATGTGGGCATCAAGGGTAACGAATATGCAATGCACAGTTAACATTTACTGCCCCTGCTTTTGGAATCTGTACTTTTTTCTGGTCCAAACAACGAATGGGTTGATACAGCGCACTATAAAATTACCTTCGAAGTCCTTCCAGCCACATCATACGATTTTCATCTACGGAATACAGGGAACTGTCTATTCTCATATCAGCGCTGGGATCTTGTAAGGCTATCTGGTTGAGAATTTTGAAAAAACGAATGGAAATTTTGACTGGATGATCGATGTCCATGGTAGAAAGCCACATTCGTTCAGCAAAAGTGCTATCCAGGAGAACGTCATGATAGATTTTTGTGAGAACTGTATCCAAGCAATTTTTCTTACTCAAAAGCTCACGCTGCCAAGACGAACCCATGTGTGAAGTACACAATTCATCCAAGTCACCGTCATAAATCTCTCTCAAGTCCATTGCCAGTACAAGATCCACGGTCAGTTTCAGGTTTTCTCCATTTTCTCTATTTTCCTTGTTGTAGTTAAACTGCATCATCAAAGCTGGTCCATTTTCTCTTGTTCCACTACATGCAGGACTCGCAAACCCACCGTGTTGCCAATCGGGTAAAAGTGTCAATTTTATCAAGGCATCATTTACAACACGGCAAAATCTTAAATAAACATTCCATGGCGACATCCCAGTTTCCACTTCTTCCTCATCGTCGTCGTCGTCGTCGTCGTCGTCGCCCTCCTCCTCCTCCTCCTCCTCCTCCTCCTCCTCCTTCTGCACCGCATCGTTGTTCTCCTCGTAATCATCACCATCACCATCTTCTTCTGTGTTTATATTAAATATCACATCAACCACGTCGACAGGAACTACTCCAGTGTCTGATAAACTGGCATGTTCTTTTAAACGTTCAAAATGTTTTTGCCCTTGCGGGTAGAACTTAACGCCTAATATTTTTTTCGACCTGTTCTCCGAGAGATTCCACTGAAAGGCAAAATCCATTTCATCAGGTTGTCCAACCTGTAGACAAGAAAGGGCAAGGCGATGAAAAGTGATAACAATTTTGAAGAGATTTGTGCTGCTGTATTTACAAGCGGCACGACTGAACTGGATGGTCTACGTGGTGTACTGAGCACACCAGGCCCGCGCACAAAGATCAATGCATATATGTAAGATTTCCGAGGGAGAATGGGGCTTTTGTTAATTTTCTGGAAGATATATAGAAGCAAACAACACGCGCCATCACTCAAGTTCCTTAATTATTACACTGCCACACGGTTATACTTCCTTTATACACGCTTAAACGCTGTGGGATGCTTAAAAGGGTAACTGTTTCAAACTGGTAAGCAAACACTCTTTCACAGTCAACTGGGGTGACTCAAGATCAAGCTCTTCAAAAACAAAGCTTGCATCGTTTCATCGCATTTGCATGCACGAGCACCATATTTAAAAAATAGAGGTTTACAAAACTCTAACTGGGGGTCGGCCCATAATTAATTGACAGTCATATTCGCCTCAGTGTAACTATCTCTGTCAGGATTATATATCGTTAGTGTAACTATCCCAGGCCGACAGAATACCAGCTTTTGGCCATGTATGGGCCAACTTAAATAGGCCAAGTTAGGTTATCGTTTCTTGTCATAATAAAGTTCGTTTTCGGTCGGAGCTATTTCCGTCACCCACTGTCGATACGACCTGTCGGAGCCGTTTTTTACTTTTTCCCATTTCTCTCGTGAGAAAAACAAAATACCTCACTGCTCTAAGATCCCAATCGGCTTTTTTCCGCCCTTTTGTGCGAAGTGAGAAGGCTAAATGGGAGCATATAGGTAGAAAAGTACAAAGTTCAACGTTAGATTTGAAAACAAACTGAAGCTGGTTACGGATTTTTGCGACAGCTTATACTTTCAATTAGTCACTGCATGCGCATCACAATTAACTTGGAAAACGTTTCGAGCACTTTCTATATACATGTTGCAATACGGACACGAGTCATGAAATTACTTGATCAAGAAGTTCATACCAAGGATAGAGTAGACAAATACCTTAGTTCTATTGTATGAGCTTCCACACTGCAGCATTTTGCCCTTAAATAACGGCTCCTCCTTTTCTATCAGTTCACTTAATTGGTCCATCATGGAGATCATATCTGACTCAACCTTTTTGGCCAAACCTTTCCGATAATCCACCCTCCACCTTTGATCATGGTCTAATAAATTCTGCAACAATCTTTGCCGTGTTTCGTGAGATAAGTGAAGAAACCAGCTTCTGATGTTATCTGCCATCATCAGCTAATCAAATACAACAGACAAAGTGTGTTTGATTAAGAACTTACTGACACTAATATCAGTAAAATAGTCACAACAAGGGAAATATTTTCAGAACAACTGAGATTAATATACTTCTTTACTCGTTTATTTTTAAAATCACTTGACGGTAACACAATCACAAATGGAAATGTCCTCTGCTTGCAAATTGCTGCGTTAGGAGATACTTGCCCCCGCAGGGATTTCGCCCAGAAGGCGAAATCCCGAGGAGGCACTCTAGTAACTCGCGCGTACATTAAGGAAAGTACTTACAGTTGAAATATACAGTCATACAGTCAATATAGAAAAAATCTCGATTTGCTTGAACAGGGGCCGCGAGGAATCGGTAGGTAATGATGACGTTTCTATTGTTTGCGCCCGCAAGTACGAAATGGTTAGGATGACGTAAAACACAAAACATCCCGAAGGAACAGCTTACAATAGGTAGATTTTGTGACACTAATTGTGCAGTCACACTTCGATACTCTTTTGCGTTACGTGTTATCAGTGACATTCTGTGGAGCAGTTGTTATGAAAGTTATGGACCAAAAGACACTCATTAAGCGCAGATGAAGTTATAAGGTGCGTAGAACAGTGCATATTTTAACACTAAGTGAGTTTGCCAGACACGAGTTCACAAATCTTTGTTTGGAAACCTTCAGCTGAACCTTGCCAGACACTCTTTCTCTTTCTTTGACCGGGATAAGACTCAGCCCAAAACAAGCAAGATGAGTGAATGATTCAACGACTAGCTTATCACTAGCAGAACGATAGACGATTACAGAAATTCGCCGACCATCAAATTCTGTGCTGACTTATTCCCTGCTCACAGCTGTCCTTCCGCTATAAAGTTTAATATAAGACTAGAATGTCGAGCGTGAATTAATTAAACGTCCTTTTAAGTTCTAAGGCTTACCTTCCGGCAAATGAAATGAACTAAATGTAAAAAGTGACATAGAGATAGCCGGAAAATTAAACTTCTAATTAAATCTTTCTATGGTTTAGAATAAACTATTCTTGAAACTGAGAATGATTATGTTTTGATCAAAGCTGTGTAAATCGAACCGAAACCGGCATGGAATCTTGCGTTTATTTCCTGTATTTATCTCACCTGTTGTAAGGAATATGTGTGAACATCTTCATTATGAATCGGTTTATTTGAAAGAGCTACACAAGGAGCAAGAATACTATATACAGAGCGGGGGCAGCTGTAGTGTCAACTATTACTAGTTTAGAATAGAAAAAAGAATTACCTGTTTAATTTCACAGATCTTAATATCCACAAAACATAATAAAGATGAATAAATATTGTCTAGAATTTCCCATTACTTGAAGACGGCTAAAAATTTCCATTTATGTACAATTTTCGAAGCTAATCTTATAAACTCCCGGCAATTTACTGAAGTTTACTTTTTCAGATTTCACTGCCCAGATTGGGCTATTTTTCATACAAAAAAGGAAACCTAAATGTTTTGGATTCAAAAATGTGATGAAGAGAGGAAATCACAAAATTCTCAATATTTCGTAATAAGTTAAATTGCATCTGAACTTTTGGGGAAAATAAAACTGAAGCTCTCGAAATTTCGAAAAGACCCAAGTTCCCCTAGGATGACCGAACAGATACAAATGATATATCGCGGCTTAGAATGCATTTCCACAGACCCGGATAGCCTAAAATGTATTTTCTATGTATTTAGGAGGAAACCGTCGTTGGGTGCCCCTGAATAAAGCACATCATTGCCTACAAATTTATACCAAACGACTTGTTTTAGGAAGATGATGATCAGCCCAGGAAGGGGGGGGGGGGGAATCTTTTCTCAGTTTGGGGGGCTATAATCATTGTACCCGGCCAGGCAAAAAATAATTATTGGGGGATATTTATTCACTCTTTCGACCACTGTGCCCATGCCAAAAAGCATTCCTCCCCTCCCTTGATGATAAAAACTTTAATTTTTAATTTTGTCTTCCAATTGAGTGGTAGGTTGA